TTCGTCTACACAGCAGATACTTACCGGGCGTCTCTAATGCCGGGCACTATTCTTGGTTTCGAATTCATGTTTAGCCATTTCTCTTTGGGGAATTGAGACAGCTAGTCGCTGACAATGTGTGACCACCGGCTCCGTTCCGGCTGTGGACGTAGGGGTACGGTGTACGTGGGAGGGCCCAGAAGAAAAGATGGCCCATCTGCAGAGCTCACCCCGAACTTGACCCGGCCAGGGGCGGCCACCAGCTTCCACCTGCAGCAGAACTTGGGGAACCTCGTGAGAGAAACAGCAAGTGCACTGAATGGTATTAAACCTTTGAGCCAGGAAGAGGGGACAGTCTCTCTTTGGCTCTTGGGATGTGCCTTGGAGCGCCGGAAGGTCATCTGGAGGCAGGAAAGGGTGCCCTGGGACCCCGTGGGATTGTAATGGGAGTGGACATCTTTGCGAGTAAGCCTGCATGGTTCCCCCCAAATGTCTTCTGACTCGTCGCAGGGTTCGAGAGCCCCAAACCTATGAGTTTGTTAGAGTTTTTCCACGTTTATTTCTTGGGGACGTATTAGTTGCCAGGCACTGTGCTGGGCTGGGGATAGAATAGAGTGAGATGACCCGATTTTACACACACGCACACACACAAAGTCGTGCTGGGCACCGAAGGGAAAAGCCCCAGAGTGTCACGAGAGAGAGAACACTAACTCCGATGATCTCGTTTAGAAGGCGTGACCAGCGGCGGCCTCTTTGACGAAGTGACATTTGGATTATGCCTAAAGGATTCGAGGAGCTGGCAGACAAACGCGGGGCAGAGATGGGGCGAAGGACGTCCCGGCGAAGGCCCTGAGGTGGGCAAACGCTGGCCCCTGCGATGCGCTGAAAGACGGTGTGGCTGCTGGGAGGAGAGAGCCGCAGAGAGCAGAACGAAGTAAGGGGCCCAGTTAGCCAGAGCCCGGATAACGCCGGCGCTCGGAAGTCGCCGTAAAGAGTTCGGTTTATTTTTTTCTAAAGGCAGTGGGAGGCCACAGAAGTGTGATTTTAAGCAGCAGCCCTCCTTGATCGGATTTCCGTCTGAATCAGTGACGATTAAAGGAGGGACGTGACCCTTCTCACTGAGAGGCGGAGACAATGGAATGTCGTCACGCTTCAGAATAAAGTCAACTGCGGGTGCCAGTAGCACCTGCAGCGTCATCAGGAGATGGGGCACAGAACGTCCCTGAATGAGGTCGCATTAATTCCCCCCAAGTCCCATTCCTGACCTGGGACCCTCCCGCCTTCATGAGCTCTGTCCCTGTGAGCATAAAACTTAGAAATTACAGCTCCTACAGCCCCTCGCAAGTGGAACCCCGACTGGGTTCTGCCGGCAGGGAAGCGGCTGCATGAGATTCGGCAGGTGGAAGAGGGCGAGAGCCACTGTTTGCCGGGACAGCTCACTGAAAGGCACGTGGGAGACAGCGGAGGCGGGCGGCGTTTGCCCAGAGCTGTCTCACGCCCTCCTGAGAATCACTTGCGGCGAAAACTATCGGCGGAAGCACGAGTTTTGCCTTTCGAAAGCTTCTAGAAGGGACCTTCTTGACCTCTGCTTGGCCAGCTTTTAATTCTTGTGTTAATCCTTTTATTACGTTGCATACGTGGAGTGGCGTCTGTTTTCCTGACCAGACCCCCGACTGATAAACAAGGAGGGCAGGAAGGAAAGTGTCTTGAGATCCAACCGTTGTGTCAGGCAGCAGGGCCGAAGGATGATTTCGACGCCGTTGCTACTGCCATCCACGGCCTCTTGATTTTGCTCCTCAACTCGGTGTAACTTGGAGAAACAAGAGTTATGCCTAATAGCTCATCCCCAACTCACCTTTCATACTAGAAAAGGACATCAAAGTCAACTTTCTCTCGGGGACGAGGACAAATTGAAGCGTAAAGCAGGTGTGGCTGTCTACCTGCTAAAGTGAGACAAAAAACCTTCAACATCTTGCAAATTTTCCTGAGCCGGTCAGATTTTGGGGGGTGAGAGTAGAGAAAGATCGCGGCCTTCGGAGACGAGCCAGGCTCGGCCGGGTGTTCTGCTTCTCAGCCTATGGAGGAAACAAGCAAAATGCCCCCAAAGGAGTAGAAGTTGGAGGGATCACAGACTTCTCAATGACAGCTCTGGATGCGAGAAGACAAAGGGTAACCGTTCAAAATTTTGAAGACAAAAAATGTCTGACTTGGAAATGTATATCCAACTAAACTACCACCTGAAGACGAGGCCAGAGGAAACAGAAGCATCCATCACAAACCAGAATGAAAACTCCAGGCAGCCCCGACATGATGGAGGTGGGAGTGGGGAGTGGGACCACCTCCCCACCCTGATTTCCCTGAGTGGGCCGTGTCGATGGGCTCCCTTGTCCTCTGCTTTCTAGTTGAATTCGCCTAACATGGAGCTGCAGCAGGAGAGGCGGAAGGAGGTGGGAGACAAGATTCAGGATATTTGTTCCCCAGGCTCCTCCAAGCTCACCCTGGGTGGCTGCAGTTCTTGACTGGAAGTCACAATGCCTGCGTAGGCTGTCTTCACCTAGTTCTTAAGTTCCAGTCACTGACCTCTTCCCTTGCCTAGTGGCCACGAGGACCCCATTCCCTCTAGCTCTAGAGCATCACACTACCCCTTCCATTTCCTACAGTCGACCGATGCGTTTGTAAACAGCCCCTTTTATTAAGCCTCTGCCAAGCCCTCTAATTTGAGTGTTTCATCTGTCTGCTGATGTGATGTCGATGATACGATAGGAAACGACTCTTATTGACAGAAGCAATATCTAAAAAACAAAAACCTTAGGAAAACATCACAGTTAACGTGAAAAACTTTAGATGCCGACAATCGCAGTTACTGTTTTATATAGCTCTCGAGGTGTGGGATCATGCAAAAAGAAAAATGAGGTGTAAGGATTGGAAGGGAAGGTTAAAAATTGTCATTTTTCCCCACTGATAATATATATCTCTATAAAAAAATAAAACAGAAAACCAGACATACTATCGGACGTAAAAAGAGAATCTCACAAGTTTCCAAGATTCGAGATTATTACAAAATAAGGAGCATCGACCTAAACCAGTAATAGCTGTCTGTATTAGTTATGTATTGTTGCTTAACAAGCAACAATGTAAAAGCCGAAAAAAACGTTTATTTTCTTGCAATTTCTGTGAGTCAGGAATCCAAGTTTAACTTAACTGGATGTTAGGGACTGAATGTGTCCCTCCCAAACTGATATGTCAAAACCCTGCATCCCAATGTGCTGGCATTAGGAGGTGGAGCCTTTGGAAAATAATTAGAATTAGAGTGACATCTCATCAATTCTGCTGTATCTGTTAGTTAGAAATGTGAGTCAATAGGTCCAGCCCAGACTCGAGGGGAGGGCATTATAAAAGGGCATGCATACCAGGAGGTAGGGGATTGCTGGGGTCATTTTAAAGGCTGCCTACCACAGAATCTAAAAATACCACAGAAAATAAGACACCACGTACAATCACAACCAAACTGCAAAGTGTCAAGCAATTAATCTAAGAAAGAACGTATAAAACCATCCTGGAGAACATTTTCAAGGTCATAGAAAAAGAAATGGATAGAGCAGAGACATTATAATGATAACACTTCCCCCAAATTAATACAATTATAGTTAATAGTGCCATAGTAGAACATTTTAGGAACATGATGGTGTTTTTCCCCCTAATACATTAATGGGAGATTAAATATATTCAAATAACTAAGTCAGTTTTGAAAAACGAGAGCAAAGAGGGGGAATTTTGCTATAACTAGCTCTCGAGGCATTCTACAAAGCCATAATTATGAAAACTGTGTGACTTTGGTATCGGGATAAAGAAAGAAATCAATGAAGCAGAAATAAGAGCCCAGAAAAAGACACGACTATATGTAAAAACTTGATGTGTGATGAATATACCACTGCAGCTCGCTGGGGGAAAGATGGATTTTGTTGGGAAAACTTTGTTTTTCTCATAGGCGGAGAAAAACAAAGATGGACCCTTATTTGGTATCACAAGCAAAGGTGAACTCCAGATAAGTTCAAGCCTAAACACGCAATTTGTGACAGCGTGAGAGAAAGTGTTTTCAATGTCTAAAACTAACGACAGATTAATATCTAGAATATAAAGTACAAGGAGATCCTGGGAATCGACACAAGAGAGACCCAGCCGGAGAGCCAGAGTGATAGAAATGCCAACACGTGGTACAGAAACTAATGAAATTTGAAAAGTAGAGGCCCCCAATGAAATGGAAAATAGGGATTTATGGGAGGTTTATGTGTCTTACAAAGGAGAATGCTCGCAGCGGGAGCTGAGCGCGTGAAAGGTGATTGAATGTAAATGGTACCTGAGGCTGGAGGAAAAGGTGGGGCCGGTCCAGGGAGAGTTGCCATTTTGATAAAAAACAAACAGACAAACAAATAGGATGATCAGTTCAATCTGAGCTTCAGATAAACAACGAATAATTGTTTCAGCATATTCTGTGACATATTTAGGACATACTCATCCTCAAAGTTACTTATTGCTCATCCGAAATTAAAATTTAACCGGGGCACCCTGCATTTCACTTGACAGCAGTAACAGTGGCCCCGAACGGAAATCCTAAGGGGATCGGGAAGGCACGTCCCGGGGTGCAGGGCTGTGGGAAACGCAGTGGACAGCGGGGCGGGCCCGGGGCCTGGGCACCTGTGTCTCGTCCACCGGGCAGCTGCTGCCCAGCTCCAGCCGATTGCATTCTCAGAGGGGTAGCCTTGAGGGCGTCCAACATTCCAATGGTTCAAAACAGAATAGAAATATGTATATTTTAATGTGGACTATCCCGATTTTTAAAGGAGACAGCCAATGGAAAGAGAAAACACTGCAAGGCACAGGCAGGGCTCCGTAGGGCACGTGGGCCACTGGTTGGCAGCCTCTGATCCAATCCCGGGAGAGCGGGCGGGGCAGATTTTTCACTTGTGTGCTGTGGTGCTAGGCCGGGTCAGTGTCTGGGGCAGAGAACTTGGATGTGGGGAAGGGGTGGCAGCAGGAGGTGACTCCCTCACACGGAAGGTAAGAAGTGCAAACCACACCTGTGGGCTCGGCTCAAAGCTTTCACTCCTCGGTGTCTGAACGTGCCCTGTGGCCACCGTTTTGGTGGCCGGGCAGAGGCCAAAGCCACGGGGTGGCGCGTGCTGCTACCTGCCTGCTCTGCGGAGCCCGGGGGGCCAGCCTACCCCAGCAGCATTTCAGGCCCCTCGCGCAGCCATTGGGGCTTTGACTTGTGGGTGGAAACTTCCCGGGGTTTGCTCTGAGCTTCTTGAGGCTTCTCGGCTTCAGATGCAAAGCGAGTGGGTGTCTCTCTGAGAAGCAGAAAGAGAGAACGAAAGAGCGAACGAAAGAGAGGTGTTTCCCTTGGCTATGGAAACTATAAAGGCGGAGCCGGCTTCCCCTCGCTGCGTCAGTCAGCAGCAGCGGTCCCCTCCTTGACCCCTGGGACTTCACGGGATTGAGAAGAAGGAAAACGCTTTTGCTGGGGCCTTCCTGAGTCAGTGGCTGCCATGCAGCAGCCCTTAAACTACCCATACCCCCAAATCTACTGGGTGGACAGCAGCGCCAGCTCGCCCTGGGCTCCTCCGGGGTCAGTCCTCCCCTGTCCGGCCTCGGCGCCCAGGAGGCCGGGTCAAAGGAGGCCACCGCCGCCACCTCCGCCGCCACTGCCACCAACACTACTGCCGCCGCTGCCACCTCTGCCACCGCCACCGCCACCGCCACCTCTGAAGAAGAGCAGGGACCACAACACAGGCTTGTGTCTCCTCGTGATGTTCTTCATGATCCTGGTGGCCCTGGTCGCCCTGGGCCTGGGGATGTTTCAGCTCTTCCACCTGCAGAGGGAGCTGGCCGAACTCAGAGAGGTAAGCCGGATGGACGGCCATGCCCGTGGCCGCGGGCGTCACTGGGCTCCGTGCAGGGGACGGTGGCCAGCTACACAGGGCTACCGTCTTCCAAAGCGCTTCTCGGCCCTGTTTTTCCCGTCTTAGAAACGGCTCGTTCTACTCCTCTATTCTACAGAGAATTGGAGACTCCTATGAGTAAAAGGAGTATTTTCTGTTGGGTAGAAGGATCAGGCCAGTACGGGACTGGCGGTCCCTGTTCTCCCTCTGCCCGTTGGCACGTCGCCCTGCTGAGCCACGCACTTAGAAGAAAGGAAAGAGACTTTGAGTCTTGCTTAGAAATGAATTTGTTCAAATGGCCAAACTAAAAAAAAGTAACTTTCAAAATATTTGAAACTATTAAAACTATTTCAAATCTCAAAACCAAGGCCCAGGGAGGCACGAGGGCTCAGGCAGGGTCAGAGTTAGGGGTGGTCTGAGGTCCTTAGAGTCCCTTTCCGAGCTTGGCTTATTTGACAGTTCTGCCTCCTTTGCTTAAATAACTTTATATTCACTATTTGTCTTTTCTCTTTCTCTTTGCCAGTCCACCAGCCAAAGGCATGTGGCATCATCTTTGGAGAAGCAAATAGGTGAGTCCTTCTGTGCGTGTACATGGAGTCTCCAGAGATGGTCCTCAGTGCCGAACCCTTGGGCGGACTGCCTTGAATCCCATCCGCTCGCAGGCACTGAGGATCCTGGCTAATTCAGAATCTCTGGTCATTTCGGTGCCTTGAGCTGCCCTAAACTATGAAGTGAATTCAATTCTTCAAGATCAGTGTCTGAGTACTATACATAATTCAAAATACTTTCCACTTGTCTTTGGGAAGAGACACATATACAACCCTGGACTTTGTCCCCTGAGCAGCTGGTCCCGGGTCAGTTCCCTCCCTCAGGCCTCCTGGTCCCCGTACACCGGGTGGTGGCTGTAACTCCTTGGGAGAGGAGGGTTTCTGGGTAAGGTCTTCTCCCCTTTAAACTCTCCGAGAGATTGCTCAAGAGGCAAGCTTTTCTGAAACATACGTTATAGGAGATGTTGAAGATTTTAAAAAGCGGGAAATCAACCATCCACTTTCGGATGATTCTTTTGCTGTCGCTGGAAAGCTTGGGGTTGGACGTCAGCCATTGTCGAAGGCAGTCCAGCTTCGCCACGGAGACCATCATGAGCTACCTTCAATAGTGAAGGAAAACCTTTTGTGTGAACACCAGGACAGGGAGGAGAGGCCATGTTGAACATGGACCTAATGAAATTTCAGGGCATAGTTTTGGAAACGGTGGACAGATAGATTTAGGGTGCTCTGGCTCATTAAGAGTCCTTGAACTTGAGATTTGGTAGGAGTGGGAAGGAAGCTCAGACAGTATCTGGTCCAATCATCTTTTTATCTCAAGAAAATCCTTTTTCAAAAGAGAAACAGAATACCAGCCGGTTTAGGTGACATTCCCAAGACCACTGGTGTGGAACTGGGGCTGGAGAGAACACAGGCTGTTCATGCCTTGGCACCTACAGGGCTTACCGGATATGGACCGGTGACTCGTGAAATAAGGCAACTCCCATCTCTCTATGGTGACCGTGGGATGAGAAATAAAAAAGACAAGCAAGATGTCTCTGCAAAGGCAATAAGTAAATCTCACCCTTAGAAACTGGGAAGAAAACAGGAGGCAGCACTGGTCATCCAGTTTCTCAGGATGTGCCACTGCAGGTGACCTAAGTCACCCTGCTACCCTGGAATGCAGGCTCTCGTAGGAACCAGCCGTAAGATGCTCTGGTCCTCAGTTCTGGTTCTGAGTCCCCAAGTGGAATGTGGCTGGTGAAGCAGGTACCTAATTACTCATCTTTCACCCACTTTCTGGAGTCGTTTCAGTGATTAAAAGTCAAGTGAACAGATGAGTCAGCTCTACCAACCCCAAAAAGAACCATCTTCTCTCGATTAACTCAAATCGACCAGAAATTGGTGAATTATCACATGGAAATCAAATTAGCAACTTTACTAATTAGATAAGAGATGCAAATTAAAATAAGACATAACCATTTTCATCCATCAAATTACTCAAGATTAAAAAATAAAAAAAAAACCCAAATTGCTAAAAATGTGAGAGAAAAGGGCCTGCTTAAACACTAGTGACAGCCAGTGGGCATGTAAATCGCTATACCTTTTCTTCAGAGCAATTTGGAGAAATATATCGAAGGATTAAAACTGTCGATTGACTTTGTAATGTCATCACCAAGACTCTTATCTTAAGAAAATAATCAGAGATGCACCTGAAAATTTTTATATATAAGAATGTTCATCACCTCCTTCTAAGGCTGTTTATAGTCAACAATTCAGAAGAAACTTAAATGCCTCTTAATAAGAGATTAGTTAAATTCTCCATGGTGTATCCAGGTGACAGCATAATTTGCAGCAACTGAAAATAGTACATGAGAAAGACACTTCAAGCCATGGAGATAGTGTGTTCTACAGTGTCAGATAAAAAGACAAGTTATAAGGCAGTAGGTTTCGCTTAATATCGACTCTATACATAAATACGCATATTTTTACGTTCTTCGTAAAGAACTGGAAGGATTTATTCTTCAACACATGAATCGTGATTTTCCCTGGGAGGTACTGCTACTGATTTTTAAAACTTATTTTATGTGCTTCTTTTCTGTGTTCCATTTTTCCACAGTTAACTCATTCGCAAATGTTCTTGGAGTGCTTCCTATGTGCCAGGCTGGGTATCCAGGCAGGGTAGGGGGTGAGGGTGACCACCGAGAACAGGACAGGCAAGGGGCCTGCCCTTAGAGAACTCTGAGCAAGCTGGAGGAGATAAACAAAAGCAAGCAAACAGGCAGCATCATTTCACAGTGTACTACATGTATCTGAGATAGAGCGGTTTGGAAAGTCCCCTCTAAGGAGTGTGTGTGTGTGTGTGGGGGGGGTGCATGGAAGAGGGGGTGGGAGGAGAGGAAAAAGCATTCCAGTACTGGAAATATCATGCGCAAAGACCCTGGGGCAGGAAACAGACTTCGCCACAATGCAAGATAGATTTCTAGCCTCCCTGTTCCAGTATTTATCCAGCAGGTATTTTTACTGGGTACCTCCTGTGAGACTCACACCCCACGAGACTCTCTGAGGGATAGAGATATACGGCGTGTGGTGCTCGGTTCCATTTCCTGTCAGAGCATGGCTGAATGCCAGATAAGCTGCACAGATGGCTTGTGGTGTAGGAATGCAGGCGAGGCTCGGTTCTGCCTTTCCTGTTCGCTGACACCTTGTTCGTGGTGGGTGGTCTTGGGTGGCAACAGAAGTGACGATGGCTCAGGTAATGTTCTCAGTTGGCTGGGGCATTTCTATGCCATATGTGAGTGTTACAGGCTAAACACACCGAGCCTGACGTGGACAAGTGCCTTTCTATGAATCTTTCTTGAATTTCTTAGCTCAATTCATTAGCTGAGTGATAGCTGCATTCGATTAAATATTTGAACCCAGAGAAGCAGTGTCTATTTTGAAAACTCTTGTCAGCTTTAGCTCTTTCAATTTAATTTAACAAACATTAACTGGCCACATGCCCGTGTTAGAAACTGAGCTAAATACTCTAGTGGATTAAACATAGAGGAAGGAATTTCCCGTTTATTTGGAGGAATAAGAGGTTATAGGGTTACCACGGAAAAGGGGAGTCGGATTTGACAAGAGAGGTGAAGACAGAGTGATTCCGGGTTTCAAAGGAAGGAAAAAATCATATTTGATTAAAAAGGCTCAGGAGGGTTTCTCAGAGGAAGAGCTATTTCCGGTGGTATTTGTAGGGTTGATAGAAACTGGACACAGAGGTGTGTTTGTGGGGGAGGGGCTTCTGGGCAGAGAGAACAGAGTGAGCGCAGGTGTGGAGGCAGGGAAGCTGTATGTTCAGGTCACACCAGAGCTCCTGGTGTGTGCAGTGTCCCTTCCCAGTGACAGAGGAGAGAGAGCTGGACAGAGAGGCGGGGACCGTGCGCTGGGGACCGTGACCATCGCACGATCAGTGGGGGGCCACTCACGCTGCGTGAGACCGCGGCCTAATTAATTCGGGGCAGATGGTAGAATGCCACCAGGACAAGACCCAGAGACCAGGAGGTGATTTAGCCGTCGCCTTTGGCCTCTGTGCTGCAGAGTCCCAGAGACGGCAGAGCCAGACCAGAAAGAGCCCCGGACCTGGCATCAGGAGACTGAGGCTCGGTCTCACTCCCCGACAGAGTAGCGAGTCCTCTCAGACGAGCCACCAGCTGCGGAGCTCATCTTGCCTCTGCGAGGTGCCATAATAATCTCTGTCTCTAAGGCTGAGGCAGGTGCTCAGTGCAGTAACTGATGCGACAGCCCTTCGTCGACCAACCTTTGTGTTGCCTTATTGGAACGTTAGAATCGATACACGTGGCCGTGTTAATTTGCTTTATTTTTTGCCTCTGTTGCACCGGTTGGACTTGCATGATTAGCATATGTTAGGCCATTGCCATTTATGCTTTAGAACAATCTCTTTTAGTTGAATACCCCAGTTAGAACGCCACCAGAAGGATAGCCGGTATCTCCGTTTTACATATCTCTTTCATCTCTCTATGACACAGGTCACCCCAGTCCGCCCTCCGAAAAAAAGGAGCCGAGGAAAGTGGCCCATTTGACAGGTGTGTATCTGGAGGTGCAGGTGGGGCTGGGGGAAGCCTGTGGCAGAAAGCAGAGATGCTGCTGGGCTTCCGTTACTGTCCTCTGGAGTGGACGGTAGAAGCAGTCACACCTAGTCAGGTCTCTCTCACACACATATCGAGCCCCTAATCTGGCCAAGGCCCAGTTCTGAACTGGAGAAGTGGCGTGATGATGGCATCGTCCCTGCCCGTAGCAGCTGACTCTTTTCATCATTCCAGAAACCCCGAGAGGGTGGAAGGCTCGGGTCCCAGACGTGAGAGCTGGCGAGGTGGGGGTGGCACAGTACTCGGGTCAGTTCCACTGGTTTTCTGGAAGAGCCTCTCTTGGCTTTGAGAGTAGAAATAGGAGTGAGAGGAGAGGCCTTGGCACTAGGGGACACCCAGCCTGTGGTCGCGTGGTGGAGCGAAGCGATTTGGCAGCAGTGTGGTCTGGGCACGCGCGTGTGAAGTCCGTGAACGTCTGACAAGTGGATACGTATCACAGGAAGTAGCGTGCTGCTGGCCCTGGAATTATTTGGGCAGAGGCTGTAGAATGATCCAGTTTAGACCGACAGACAATTATAGAGGGCGTGTGTGCGCGCACACGCACGCCAAGCTTTGGGGAGAAGGAGATAAATAACACTTGGTTTTTGCCCTCAAGGACTGTAAAATCGAACGGGGCAAGGCCATACACGAGCCATCATTTCAGTGCTGGAGAGCGTTTTCTGCTTAAGGCGTGTAATGATGCTATTCAGATACAAAGGAAAGGAGATTTTAGCCCACAGGGGGGCACTGAAGGCGAGGAGTCAGACAGGTGATCCTTGAGGTCTTTCCAACTTTAGAAGTTTAGAGTTCCCTGGGTCCAGCTTTTCCCCTCAGGGAGGGACCTCGAAGCCTCGCTGTTTGGGTGCCAGTCCTCAAGATCATAGAACCTTCATTCCAGAGAGCTAAAATCATCGCAGTCATTTCTCACTGCAGTGGATGAGGGCTACATATCACTGTCCCGTTGCGTGTTCCACTCGTGTGGATGATCACATCGAGGCGGGCAGTTTGACGAAGGTGCAATGGAAAAAAAACATTTGCTCAAGAAAGAGCCTGTGGTTTGGCCACGGATGCTTAGTTTGTCGGGCACAGGGTGCTCCTGGCTGAAAGCTCCTTTCTCCTTTCTCCTTGGTTTCAGGCAAGCCCAACTCAAGATCCATGCCCCTGGAGTGGGAAGATACCTATGGAATTGCCCTGGTCTCTGGGGTGAAGTATAAGAAGGGTGGCCTTGTGATCAACGACACCGGGCTATACTTCCTGTACTCCAAGGTGTACTTCCGGGGCCAGTCCTGCAGCAACCAGCCCCTGAGCCACAAGGTCTACATGAGAAACTCTAAGTACCCCCACGACCTGGTGCTGATGGAGGGGAGGATGATGAACTACTGCACTACCGGCCAGATGTGGGCCCGCAGCAGCTACCTGGGCGCCGTGTTCAATCTCACCTGTGCTGACCATGTGTATGTCAATGTGTCGGAGCTCTCGCTGGTCAGTTTTGAGGAATCGAAGACATTTTTCGGCTTATATAAGCTCTAGGAAAAGCACTTTGGGATTCTTTCCATTACATTGCAGGCAATCAGAATGTTGTCTTGAAGGAAAGTCTTCTTATGCCTCCTGGAGGCCAAGTGAGAAGACAAACCATGAGGGTCTTGAGGCCACAGGGTCCAGCAGTCCCTCGTACCACCTAAGGTCCGTGAGCCGGACAGGAGGACGAATGTAACTCATGGACATAACACCCTGGGCTGCACGGCCAGAAGCAGACGCGGGGAGGGCAGCCCCCGGGGTGATCTGCACGCGTCTTAAGTGGCCAAGGGTGTTTGGCACATTGAATGGGACACCTTTTAACTCACCTCTTGGTGGTGGGTCTACTGTCTACCTCAGGGGAGGCTGTCTTTCAGAAATACGGACGGGACATGAGCGCGTGAGGGCTGGAAAAAGAAGACTAGGCTTGCGTGCGTGATAAGCTAAAAGGCCGGGAGGCCCACGTCCTACTCACAGCATCTTGTACATCCGTAGCCTGAGCCTCCAGATGATGCTAATGGAGGAGTGGGGGAGGTCTTTGGGGGACCCAGTCCGTTCCCTAGACAGCATGTATATTTCTAGTGCAATTATAGGTGCGCGTGTGTGTGCGTGTGTGGTGCGTGTGTGTGAGGGACTAGGCGAGCTGTGTAATTAGAAAGGGGAGATGGTGAAGGACGTGTTAGGGAAATACAGGGTGTGTTTGGTGGTAGGTTTTGAATGCTTCTTGGCAACCAACTCTAACAGTCCTCAAAACCCTTTGTCAGCTAGCGAGGCTGTTTTCTATAATATAACCGATATTTATATCTATTTTGTGCCTTTTTGATGAAAAGAATACATGTAATAAATGCTATATTTTAGAATAACAGTTAGGCATTATGCATGTACTTTTTGGAAATCACTAATATTTGTTTGTCTCCCTTAATATTCCTTTCTCCCATGGCTTGGTCATTATGACGTCAGGCCACTTGCAGGAGAATGGGCCGGGGTGAGAAGAACTGCGAAGCAACGTCCCATCTCTGCCAGGCTCGCCTCTCCTCACTGCATTCTCTTTCCTCTGCTCCTCTCAGGGCCCAGAGAGTCCACCGCTGGCATTATTACTGGTGTTAAGGTCACCCACCTTCCCACAGACCTGAGGACAGCTTGTCTTTTTCCTGGGGGCAGAGGTCTGGCACAGTGGGAAGGGCACAGACTTTGGACTAAAAAAAAATCTGATTTTGAATCTTTGTTCCTCCCCTTTACTAACTATACAATCGCTGTGCAGGTCACTGGACCTCTCTGGAACAGGAAAGGGCTGATATGGACATAAGTATCTAACACGTAGTAGCATGTCAAGAATGGTATCTGCCAGTATTAGAAAGCCGCTCTGTGAGGGGCACGTCAGCCTCCAGAAGAATGCACGGATCTGAGGGTGCCAGCCAGACACCTGGTTTCTTGCATTCCCACCTTGGTCATTCGAGGACCTTTTTTTTTATTTTCTACACACACACACACACACACCACTATATTGAGATCTCTAATTAATAAGCTCTCTCATTTTCTTACATATGCATCAGCTCCTTCTCTCCCTATCCAGCTTAGATTCCATCCTCTGTCATTACAGTCAGGACCTTGGACAGACCCTCACCCCGACTGCCCTGCTTCCCTTGCTGTATTCCTCCTGCAAAATCCTTTACACAGGCGTCCCTGCAGCTGGATGTTGCTGAGGACAAGATACCCAAACAGAGTGACTGCTTCTATTTTATTTTTACCTATTGTCTCCTTAAGCCAGCCAACCAGTCATTTATCTATCACTGATTTGTTTCTGGCTTTAGATAGATTCAAATAGTAATACCAGGACATAGTACAAAACTTCAGACACTTGAAGACATAGGGTAAAAATAAGTCCTCACTCTGTCCCATTGCCCCACTTCTGCCTCCAAAGAGAATCACCGTCTCCTTACGTAGCTTTCTGGGGATGATCGGTATGCAAATACGACATCACTCGACATCAGGGTTTCCCAGCCTCGGCTCTATGGACATTCTGAGCTGGAGACTTCTTTGCTGTGAGGGCTGCCTGCTGTGTGTTGTAGTGTGTTTAGCAGGGGCCTGCCCTCTACCCATGACTGGCCAGTAGCATTCTCCCCTCCCCCATGCTGAACCCAAAATGTCTCCAGACGTTGCCAAATGTCCTTGGGCTGGGGGCGGGTAGACAGACTCACTCCTGGTTTATGTCAGTGGTCACAGACCTCAAGTGAATTCAACGCAGCCCAGCACTTCTCTTCCGTTCCCTGGTAAGTGTGTTTTTCCATCATTTGAGGCAATGATACCATATCTTTTCCTCTTGCAAACCAACCACATCCCCTCTCCCCACATGGAACCTCACTTCCCGGGCCTACCGGCATCCAAACGGCCTCCGTCCTCCGCTGGTGCAGTGGAGGAAGGGGACCGCTCCCCATTTGTGCACCAGACTCATTCCCTCTCCCCAGCTTGGCCCGTTTAAAACTTGTCTTCTCTCTTTTGGATCGTCCACCTATCTGGTCCATGAAATCATTTCCACCAGTACGTACATATGTTTGAGTATTCCTTTTCACCAAAAGGCAAACCGAACCAAAAACAGAAACAAAAAAACCTCCAAACCTTTCTTTACTATTCAGCTTCCTGCAGCAATGGCTGCATCTCATGTGAGAAGGCTGTCTCCACATGAGATCCATTTCCTTAGCGAGGGCTGTGGCTCTGTTACTTATTTGACCACTTAACAGATATCTGGTTCTTTTGTTTTCTGCTAGGATGAAAGTTCCAAAAGCAAGACCTTTTCTGTCTTGTTTACCACTGTATCCACATCACCTAACGCGGTGCTTGGCACACGTCAGCTGCTCAATAAATGTTTGTTGACTGAACTGCATAACCTCAATTGTAAGGCGAGTGTCTTTCAGTTTGGGCTATGTGGGTACATTTTTGAGAGTAGTGAATTTATAGTATAGTGTTGCCTCATGAATGTGTTTCCAGCTTTGAATATATTTTCCAATAGGAGTCTGAGGCTACAGATGGAAAAAAAAAATCATGCATCCTAATTGATAGCATTGGAAAATGAGACAGATCTATTTGGTCCCTGGTGTTACCATGGGTTAGTCAGGAGACGGATGAGGAGAACTGCCAGGTAACTAACTAGAGCTGAAACTGTCATTTAGAAGATACTTAATAAATATTTGTCGAACAAATTAGTGAACAAGACCGAAGGCCCGCTCTCCTTAAAACCCTTTGGTTGATTCGTCTGCTGTATGAGGTCAGATTCCCAGCCAGGTGCTTCACGGAGAAAGTCAGAGAGGTATTGAGGTATGTCCTCTTATTTGGCTGCGGGTGTGTGTCCCCAGCCCTCACCACGAAATCCTCCTCCATCCTTTTTCTCCCCCTTTTGGCTCTAACCATCAAGAAGCTGGCTGGACTCTCCTTAAAACCCTTTGGTTGATTCGTCTGCTGTATGAGGTCAGATTCCCGGCCAGGTGCTTCATGGAGAAAGTCAGAGAGGTATTGAGGTATGTCCTCTTATTTGGCTGCGGGTGTGTGTCCCCAGCCCTCACCACGAAATCCTCTTCCATCCTTTTTCTCCCCCTTTTGGCTCCAACCATCAAGAAGCTGGCTGGACATCATCATCATCATCATCATTATTATTATTATTGTCAATGGACCCTTCTAGATAATAATACCAGAGCGAAGAGGAAGTGGGGGTGGCTCCTGGGCATCCTGAGCTGACCTGATGCCATCGGCTCCTAGTAGCATTGGTCCCGTCATTCCTGAGCTCTACTAAGATACCTTTAAAATTTTCTGAAGACGAGATCTCAGCTCACTCTGCTTTAAGTACCGGTTCGAGGCAAGAGACGTTGACGGTTCCTTTAGAATCCTGAGTTATTTTTCTTTACCTCAGTAGAAACATAAGGAATGTCAAAAACCCAAATCTTTTGAAGGTGCTCGTTAAAAATGGGATCTGCTGTCATTCCTTTATGAAAGACTATATCCAAAGTAGAACATCAAAAAAAAAAAAAGGGGAGGGGAGGGTTACTTCTGGTTCAGTAGTTTGAGGTTTTCTTTCTTTTTAGACAACTAAAAGCGTACAAAACCATGGTTTTTTTTAAGCCCCCCGTAGTGGTGGCTTTGTGTTCTCTGAAGTAGGTTTTGACTTACCACAGCTCAACAGGAAAAGGGCTCTACTAAGGGCCATCATTGCGAGAGTGACAAGTTTGAAACTATAGCTCATTGAAAGATGGGGAGTGGTGAGAGCTGAGTATTAGATATCTCTATCCTCCTCGAAATTCGCCACAATTATTTCTTTAAATGTGTCACCTAGAGTCCCAGTAATTGAAAAGAAGCATAATCTCATTCATTCTTTCATTTGTTCATTCAACATGTGTTTATTTAATATCTGTCACATACCAGAAACTGCCCTAGGTACTGTGGATACAAGGAAATACAAAGTCCTGTATGGAGTTATATATATAAATAACTTTGGAGTTATATTTTAACGGAGAGATAAAGAAAGAGAAAATAAAGAAAGAGCAAATAAATATCTAATAAGTTATATGGTAGTAAGTGCGATGAAGAAAAAAATGAAGCAAGGTAGGACGGGAGAGTGATGGAGGACGGGGCGACCGTTTGACACGTGGTAAGTGGGTACCACATAGAGTGCAACAGCTAAAGAAATTGCAAGTGCAAAGTCGTAAGAACAACCGTTGAATCTCATTCTGAGGGATGAAATGGAAGAATACTATCTGATATCTTCATAGTCTTTAAAACATTTTCTCGCATGCCTCCTTTATTGTTTTTAAAATATATGAAGCAATTTACATAAAAGTGGTCGGCCCGTGTCAGAGTCTCTATAAATGTTAGTTGAGTATATTGAATATATTCTGTGCTCATTATATTCACAGAGTGGTGAGATGCCATTTGGATGCCTTTTTTTTAAAAAAAAAAAAATAAGCATCAATTAGATAGAGTGATGTTTAAACATTTGACTGGTGAGATGTAACAGTTTAAGCTGTTTGTCGGTCTTATGTGGCACTAACATCGCCCGCCAGACCCAGAGTTGTCCCTGGACAACATTTTCGTACCTGAATGTGAGCTGCTGAGGGAATTTCCCGCCTGCAGCTGCCATTCACGGCAGGGGCAGGACCTGGTTCTCAGGTCGTAGCCCTGGCTTTCTGTGGGCAAACCGCTTCAAAGGCAATGCGAGCTCGTAAGAGACGCCCTTGAGGGTGGCGGCCTCGGAAAGTGTCCACACGTGCAAGGCATCCTATGCAAGAAGAGAACTCTGCAAAGGAGACCTGAGGGTTTGATCGGCATCTCTTGGTGTCTCAGATATTTCTCTGGGCAAAGATCTTTTAGTTTCATTTAGTTTAGGTCTCAGTTTTCTCACACACTCCGCCCCTAACACCACTTCCAGTCTGTGGATGAGAACTCGGTGGCATTTTCTGGAAGAGGTTGTTCCTGATTGAAAGAGAAGGCAGGTGAGAGATTCGGGAAGCTACCAAAGTCTCTGGCCCTAAGGAAATGCACTGAGATTCTAGACCTGTAGGTTAAAGAAACGGGGGTTCTGGTAACATGAAACATATTTTATTCTCCTCACCCCACGTCCTCATTGAGAAAACATCCTTGACTCAGAGGGTGAGAAAGACCTGAAGGTGTTAAACAGAACTCTAAAGTTTGAGCTACAAGGCAAGACATCTCAAACCTCAGCATCCTCTCTGCATCATTTGGTGGGTTGTGTTCCGGCTTCTAAGAAATTCTGAAGGTTTCTGCAGGGGTCCGGGAGAG